TTGCCCATGGTAGTCCTCAGCTCCAAATAAGGGCAGTAAACACTATCCACAATCTCTCTGATGCATCTCCATTCAAGTAGTCCTCACTTACTACCTGCATTTGGGACTGGCATCTGTGTCATTAAGCATGATGGCACATGACAGTGCCAACTTACATCTGTTCCTCTGCAGCTGTTAAGCAAATCACTGTGGGTTGTTAAAGTCAGTTTCACATGACTGTGGCTTACAATTTCCTGCTGGCATCCCCAGTGATTTTGCTTGTGTGAAGCTAGCTGGGCAGGTCACAAGTGGGGATTCTGAATGTGGGATGCTGCAATCATCATAAATGTGCACCAGTTGGCAGAACCCAAATTGGTGCAACTCCTTTTCTTGCATCTTCATAACCACAGGCTCAGTGAGTAAGTGGTAAGTGAGGACTACCTATACAACTGAACTGAACTGAACTGGGGGTGGATGTGGCCAGCGCGTGATGCATCCATGGGCTGCAAGTTTGACACCCCTGATCTAAACAGAAACTCTCCACGCGGCATTTTAGTTCAAATGTCATAGTTCCAAGTAATGCTAATTAATTCAGCCAGAGTCGTTTCAAGAGTTGACACCAACAACTGAAGCCTCACTGCACCCCAACCAAGCTGGCTCTTCTGTACACCAGTCTCTGTTCCCGAAAAAGCTCTGCAGGCAATTATTGGAGCTCCGAGGCCTGTCACTTAATCTGAAATTCTGCTATTTTTCTAAATATTATCACAGAACCCCCTTGATTTCTATGGAAAGCTGTTTGTAAAAAACAGTGGAAAGGTTTTTTTTTCAAGGTAGATTATACAAGTAAAAGAACTAAAATAAAAATTGAAAACCTTTGTAGACACAGCTCACATCCCCTGATAATAAACCCAAACGGGCTTTTGAGCGCATGGCAATAAGGCCAAGCGCTTATTTCAGGGTTCAAAACAATACAAGACAGGGTCTTATTTTTGGGGAAACATGGTACATGGGCAGAGAGAAACAGGGATGCAGCAGTCACCAGAAAGGGGATCTGGGCATGTAAGAGAGGCAGATTCAATTTGCAGATGACACTAAACAGACAGGAATAGCCAGCAACCCAGAAGACAAGCTCAAGATCCAGAAAGATATTGACAAATTTGAACAATGGGCCCTATCCAACAAAAGGAATTTCAATGTGGAGGAAAGCAAAGTTTTACATTTAGGCAGGAAAAATCAAAGATATTAGTGCAGATTAGGAGAGACTTGGCTCAAAAACAGTAACTGTGAGAGGGACCTTGGAGTCTTAGTGAATGACCACTCGAATATGAGCCATCAGTGTGCAGCAGCCGCCAAAAAAGCGAATACAATCCTGGGTTGTATAAACAGAAGCATTGAATCAAGATCACGTGAAGTATTACTACCACTTTATGAAACCCTAGTAAGACCACACCTGGAATACTGCAACCGATTTTGGTCACTATATTACAAAAACGATGTTGAGACTTTGGAAAAAGTTCAGAGAAGAGCGATTACGATGATTGAAGGCCTGGAGACTAAAACATAGGAAGAACCGTTGCAGGATTTGGGTTTGGCTAATCTAAAGAAAAGAAGAATTAGGGGTGAGATGATAGCAGTATTCCAGTATTTGAGGGCCTGCCCCAAGAAGAGGAGGTCAAATTTTTCTCCAAAGCACCAGAAAGCAAAACAAGAAAAAATGGACGGAAACTAATCAAGGAGAGAAGCAACCTGGAATTGAGGAGAAACTTCCTAACAGTGAAGACAATTAACCAGTGGAACCAATTGCCTTCAGAAGTTGTGGGTGCTTCATCCCTGGAGGTTTTTAAAAGAGACTGGACAGTCACTTATCTGAAATAGTATAGGTCCGTGATGGCGAACCTATGGCACGTGTGCCACAGGTGGCACGTGGAGCCATATCGGTGGGCACGTGAGTGTTGCCTTAGCTCAGGTCCAGCACACATGCGCGCACTGGCCAGCTGATTTTCGGGTCTTCCGGGCCCACCAGAAGTTGGGAAACAGGCTGTTTCTGGCCTCCGGAGGGCTTCCAGGGGGATGGGGAAGGCTGTTTTTGCCCTCCCCAGGCTCCCAAAAGGCTCTGGAGCCTGGGGAGGGTGGAAAACTGGCCTACCGGGCCCACCAGGCCAAAAGCGGGGGGGGGGAGTTCGGGGGGGATGGGGCGCATTGAATTATGGGTCTGGACAAGCGTGCACATGGCCCCCTGCGCTCCCCTTGCTTTCAGCATGCGACGGCAAAAAGGTTAGCCATCACTGGTATAGGTTCTCCTGCTTGAACAGGGGGCTGGACTAGAAGACCTCCAAGGTCCCTTCCAACTCATTCATTCTATTCTATCTCAATTAAGCCCACCTGGACAGGGCTGCCCATTGGCCAAGCCCACCTGGACTCCTCTCAGGTCTGTCACCCGCCTTGACATGCCACTGGGCTCTTCCTAGCAGGGTTCCCGCCCTCGGAGGGAGCCCCTGCAGCCACGATCCCTCTGAGCCCAGACCCTCTTCCTCCCCCCACCCCCAGACCCTGGGAGGCGGATCCTCCCCAGCATCGACAGGGGAACGTGGGAACGGTAGTGCCCAACCTTCCTCAACACCAGGCGGCCTCACCCCGGGAGCCGATCTGCACCAAATGTTGGGCTGCGGGGAAGGAGAAGGGCTCGGAGGGAGGATTTTAAAGGGACCGGAGAGCCGTTCGCAGAAGCAGCAACCGAGGAGGAGGAGGAGGAGGAGAAGGGGCGGGAGTAGCGGTTCCCACGGGAGCAGAAAACCTTGCAAGGAAAGGCGGAGAGTCGGAAGGGGAGGGGGCGCAACTGGGGAAACCCCCACCTCGCTCTCCTTCCCTCCCCCAAGGAATCCCTCCTCCCTTCCCGCACCTGGGGATCCCCCCTCCTCCTCCCACCCCCTTTTGGTCCCCTCCCCCTTTCGCAGCGTCCTTGCCCACCTGGCGCCCTTCCCCACGAGGGGATCTCCGCAGCCCTGGCTTAAGAGACGTCGGGAGACCAGGAAGGGGGGGCGGGAAGGGCCTTCTCTCTAAGCGCAAAAGAAAAGCTCTCTTTGTTTAACCCCTTCGGTGAAAAACCGCTGCGGGGAGGGGGCGACTGGGGCGCCGGCGAGCATTGCCAAAGTCCCCCAACCAGAGACCGCAAAAGACCGTGGACTTCCCCCACGGGAAGGCCAAAAGACCAAAAACAAGGCTCCAGATTAAACAAGTTGTATGTGCTGATCTGCATCTCTAAATGCAAATTAGGAATTCGTTTCTATTCAAGATTGGTGAGGAAGTCCTGTAGATGTCGTTGGACTACAAAGCCCACCATCCTTCACCCCGGTTTTAGACGCTGCTGAATTTAGATTTGCTGAATACAAATACTGTATCTTAACTTTATACAGTATGTCAAGAAGAGTTTGGTAGCACCTTTTCAGACTAACAAATTGCATTGAAATCCGTAACTTTTAGTCTGCAAAAGTGGTAAGTCACTTTTCACTCATCTGGTTTTGGGATTCCATAAATTCACATGGCTTCCAAAAATAGGGAAAATCCCTTGTTCTAAGTAGGAGGATCCATTTCCTGCCACCCTTCTCCTGCTTTAAGGGGATTCATCTCTAAAATGAAGCTGCCCCCAAAAAACAAGGATTCCCCCCTTTCCACCAATAGATTTTCATGTTCCCCAGGGATAAAGTGAAATTAGGCACAGGAGCCAACTTACGCCCCAACAAGGCTTTAGATCAGATAATTGAGGGAATGTCATCCAACCTCCTTTCCTAACTGCTATCAGCATTTGCAGTCCTTTTCAGAGATTTCAAATGGAGAGGGATCCTGAAAAATCAAGGGGAGGCCACAAGCCACAGTGCTGCCTTCCCGTTTGATTGGCAGCAACATATTTAACTAAGGGAGGTTTCAAGCAGCTGTTATGTATTTTCATCTCTGTACCGATTGGCACCCGTTTGGTCGCTAATTGACTCTGCACTGAAGCTCCCTACTGTTTACTTTATAGCTTGAAGTGTGTTAAAGATGAGCACTGGGAGAAGCATCCTACTTTCAGGATTTCTGTTGACAGCTTGCTCATAAATCTGGAACTTTACTGTTGCAAAATATGGCTTTAAAGGAAAAAGTAACCACAAGAGGATAAAAATGGAATGGCTCCTTTACAAATGTAGTATGGAAGGCCGGCCTGGTGTGAGGGGGAGAAGAGAGGAAAAAAGGAAAGGGAGACGGAGCGAGAGAGAGAGACATAGAGAGAGAGAGACAGACAGAGAGAGAGAGACAGAGAGAGAAATGATGGTGGAGGGTTTATCAGCCTGCCCTGCCCCCACCCGCTTGGTGGGGCTGCATGTGAGGAGGGAAAGACCTGAGGAAGAGAGAAGGAGAGGGAAAAGGGTGAAGTTGATCCAGAGAGAAAAAGCAAAGCTGATCTAAAGAGAATGTTGAGAGAGAGGGAGAGGGAGAGGGAGAGAGAGGGAGAGAAAAGATGATCCAAGAAAAGAGGGAGAGTGAAGATGATCCAGGCAAGTGAACAAGCCAGAGGCCTGAGGGGAGTGCCAGATACACCAGAAAAAAAAGGGGAGGCGAACGGATCCACAGGACAAGGGCAGGGCCGGATTTAGATGAAAAGAGGCCCTAGGCTATTCCACTTATGAGGCCCGTTCACCTATAGTGAAAGTGTAATTTTAATTTCGCTAACAATTTGAATGTAGGCCCCTCTTGATCTTGAGGTCCTAGGCTGAAGCCTAGTTAGCCTATAGGAAAATCCGGCCCTGGACAAGGGAAGTGAACTGGCCTGGGCGAGGTGCCCGGGTGAGTGACCAGAACAAGCTGACAGCCAGGACAAAGCACAGAGCAAGAGACTCTGAGAAATTAGACCAGTGACAGAGGGTGGGAAGTGTCCAAATTGCCAAGGAGAAAAGAACAAAGGGAGCCAGACTTTTGCGCCCTTTCAGAGTAGCGCTTCACAAAGAAATCCAAAAAGACCCATTAAACAATCAAGCTTCCCAGCCAACTTCCAATAACATAGGACAACACGTTTACTTAATGACTTGTGGTTGTTTAACACAATCACAGTAAAAATGGACATAAAACCAAGTGATGACTCACTTCACAAATGCACTGAAATTCTAGTCCCAAAAGTTGTTGCCAGTTGAGGACAATATGCACCCCTGAAATGGCAAATTCACAAAATAGATCCTGGGGGAAAGAATTAAGGCAGAATGAAAAATAAATTTTTTGTGGCATGATGGTTTACAGAGGAACCAAGGAATGTTGGGTGTCTTCTCAAGTGAAAAGCAAAGGAAAAAAAATATCCCGCCAAATGATAAGCTGACTAACCTCCTTAGAGGGACACCGTACATACAGCACTACTCTGGATGCAGACCCAAAATGCTGTGGATGTGATGATGATCTAAGTACTAGAGTTAAAGGGGGCCTGTTCAGCTTTTGGCCCTAAGGTCTATTCCATGGAGGAATCTGAATTAAAAAAAAAACCCCAACATATATTTTATGTATTTTCTTTTCATTCAGGAATTCAAGAGAGCACACAAAACATTCCTATCTTTTGTGTATAGGTAGTCTTCAACTTACAACTATTCATTTAGTGACCAAAGTTACAACAGCACTGAAAACAAGTGACTTATGACAGTTTTTACACTTAGGACATTGGATAACCATTAGGATGTTGGATAACCATTTGTCTGAAGTGGTGTAGGGTTTCCTGCCTAAGCAGGGGGTTGGACTAGAAGATCTCCAAGGTCCCTTCCAACTCTGTTATTCTATTCTATGTGTAATCTTTTGATCAGGACTGTTGCAGCATCCTCAGCGTCATGTGATCAAAATTTGAATGCTAGGCAACTGGTTAATATTTATGATAGCTGTGGTGTCCTGGGGTCATATCAAGGGTGAAATGCTTCCGGTTCGGACCAGATTGCTGCGCGATCATCAGATGCTGTTTCTTTTACTTTTAAAAGCATTTTTTTTACAACGTCTTCGGCCGAAAAAATGCTTTTAAAAGTAAAAAAAAAAGCCTCCGATGATCACGCGGCTCAGCTCGGATCGTCAGAGGCTTCTAAAAGCATTTTTTTCTGCAACCTCTTCAGCCAGAGGTTGTAGGAAAAAAAAATGCCTTTAAAAGCCTCTGGTGATCCCAGCTGACTTGCCTGATCGTCAGAGGCTTCTAAAAGCATTTTTTTCTGCAACCTCTTAAGGTTATAGAAAAAATGCTTTTAAAAGTTAAAAAAAAAAAAGTTGGCCATGCCCACCCAGTCACATTACCCTCGCCACCACCAAGCCACGCCCACAGAACTGGTAGTAACAAATTTTAGATTTCACCCCTGGGTCATATATGATATGTTTTGTGACCTTCCGACAAGCAAAGTCAATGGGGAAGCCAGATTCACTTAACAACCGTATTCTTAACTTAAGAACTGCAGCAATTCTCTTAATACCAGGGGCAAGAAAGGTTGTAAAATGGGGCAAAATTCACAGCAACAGAAATTTTGGCCTCAATTGTGGTCTTAAGTCAAGAACTAACAGTAATATTTTTTAAAAATCTGCACCAGCTTACTGCAGCGTCCCAGAAATGTTCCTATGTTTCCCTGTTGCTGCCGGGGAGGATCAGCTCTCTAGTGTTTGGAGAGGAGAAGAGGACTTGTGGAAATTTGAGATCAGAGGAAAAACGTGAAGGAGGCTGAAGGGGCTCCCCTCCTAAGGCAAGATCTATCTTAGGAGGAGACCTGTATCCCAAAGGTGTTTTTTCAGGAGGCAACTTTTGAAGATGTTTCACTTCTCATCCAAGAAGAGAAGCGAAACGTCTTCAAAAGAAAAAAGTCCAGTTGCCTCCTGAAAAAGCACTTTTGGGACAACCATGACCTGGATGACAGTATCTCTACAGAGGAGACCAGTGGGATCTGAAAGGCAGGTGACAAGAGACCTGAGAGGCATCGCAAGCTTGGCTAATGGGCAGCCCTGCCCAGTGGACTTGCTTGGAGATGGAGCACCTGAATTTGCCTCTCTTACATGCCCAGATTCCCTTTCTGGTGATTGCTGCATCCATGTTTATCTCTGCCCCACTAACTGAATAGCACCACCCCCATAGAGGTTTCAGTTGTTGCAATATAATGCTGCATGGAGCCATTTTATAAGACGGTCCTGATTCCTCTAGCTCAGTGGTTCTCAACCTGTGGGTCGCGATCCCTTTGGGGGTCGAACGACCCTTTCACAGGGGTTGCCTAAGACCATCAGAAAACACATATTTTCAATGGTTTTAGGAATAATTTTATGGTTGGGGGTCACCACAACATGAGGAACTCTATTAAAGGGTCGCGGCATTAGAAAGGTTGAGAACCACTGCTCTAGCTATTCCATTACAATCTTCCCTTTCCAATTTTTATTTTTCCTCCCAATTTCATGCCTGAAATTAGGCATGGGATTTCTGTGAGTCTCTCCACCTTCACTTTTATAGCTTTCTCTGAAGATTTCCAAAATTATTTTAACATAATGTAAATCTTGGGACAGTTCAGAACCTATTCACTTCAGCTTGATGCATGGATGATGGTATTTTGACTGGGCTTTTTTAAAAGAAGTGGGGGGAACAGAAATCCATTTCCCCAGGTGCTTTGAAAGGATAAACCAGTGTTCAGATCAATCATTTTTAATGTAAAACTGCTTAGTAAGATTAATGCCAAGGGCATTCCCTATAAATGTTCCCACAGAATGAAGTACTGAATTAAAAATAACTTTAAAAAGTTCCTTGGCATAGAATACAGGAAAAAGAAAGTATGAACATTCAGATGAATATTTGGCCCCCAAAGCTCTCCAGTTTTAAAAAAAGGACCTTGACTTTGACCTCACTCAACAGCAGTAACTGAGAGGGATCTGAGTCCTAATGGACAACTACCTAAGTATGAGACAGCAGTGTGGCTGCAGCTGCAGAAAAAGCCAATGCAGCCCTAATCTGCATCAACAGTAGGATAGCATCAAGATCACATGAAGTGTCTGTATTGCATTATATTGCACTGGTAAGACTACACTTGGAATATTGCATCCACGTTTGGGCACCATAATGCAGAAAAGATGTTGAGACGAAAAACAGTGCAGAGAAGAGCAACAAAGATGACTAGGGCACTTGGGGTGGGCGGTAAAACAAGATGAACAGTTGCAGGAACTGGATATGTCTAATCTACCAGAGAGAAGGGCTATAAGGGTGACTAGCAGTCTTTCAATATTTGAATGGATTACACAGAAAAAAGGGGGTCTATCTATTCTCTAAAGCACCTGAGAGATGGACAATAAGTAACAGAGGGAAGCTTATCAAAAAGAGATCCAACCTAAGAATTAAGGAGAAACCTCCTGTCACTGAAAACAGTTAATCAGTGGAACGGCTTGCCTCCTGAAGTGGTGGGTGCTCCACCAGTGGAGATTTTTAAGAGGAGATTGGACAGCCATTTGTCTGGAATGGCCTAAGGCCTTCAGGGAGCCAGTGGAAATGGGAAAATGCCTGAGGGGACTCAGTGGAGGAAGGAAAGATCTGGTGTGAGCCTTTTGGGGAGGAAAAAGCATGGGGGTGACCATGCTTTTTCCATGCAGGATGGATAAAAATCAATGATTTTTTTTTAAAAAAATCGAAAAAATCAGATTTTTTTTATTTAAATCGGATTTTTTTTTATTTAAATCAGATTTTTTTGATTTTTATGGAATTTATTTTAATAAAAAACTTTTGGGGTAAAAATCTATCGTAAGATAGTTTTCTATTTAAGATACATAAATAATTTAGTTTATTCAGCATGAAATGGAGCTTAGTTATGTAGGATGAGGCTGTATATTCTGCAACACTGGGACTATCGGTGAGTCAAAGGAGTAGCAGAGATGACAGTTGCTCTTTAAAAATTATGATTTAAATCGAGTTGATTTAAATCAAGCCTTTTTACTAGTGATTTAAATCATGATTTAAACTGTGATTTAAATCAACTCGATTTAAATCAAATCCACCCTGGGGATGACCAAGAGTTGGGAATCAGAGCACAGGGTGTCTCTGAGGATAAGGCAGGCCTCAAAGAAATTCCCACAATCCTGAGGTAGCCAGTGTTCTGCTTAGCAACTTGCACATTTGTTTAATGGCTGCATCACGGAGAACAGGGAGTGGGGTAGTTAACCAAAGCACTCTTGCTTAAACAACCATTGCAAAACGCAACCATAATTGACAGCTCCCATTACATTTGTATGTCTAGGACTAATTCTATGCTGGCTTGGGAATTGTGGAGCTCAAAATATGGAGGACATCAAGAAAGAAGGCTGACACTTGACATGTGGAAATTCCAAAATCAATATACAATAAAACACTATGGAAAATCCTTTTTGAGGAATTCCACAACTTCTGCAAAAGGAAACATATAACAGTAACTTTTGCTGAAGGCTAAAGGAGTTAGCCTTTATGAAAGTAGCATTTTCCATTTTTTTCTCTCCACCTACAAATCTAATCCTAAGAGACTTTGACTAAAAAGAATTAGGCCAGAATTCAAATACTCAATTTCCTACCTACTGTATACTCCCAACTAGAAATCAGAAATTAAATTCAAGCCTTTTCTAAATTCATCAACGTTTGCCTCATATGGATTTCCTTGTGTGCAATAAAGGACGATTTATGCCTGAAGTACCGTCCACAGACTGGACATCTGAAAGGTTTCTCCCCTGTGTGTAAACCTACATGACTTAGAAGACTAGACCTACTACTAAAATCTTTCCCACAATCCGGACACTCATACGGTTTCTCTCCTGTGTGTGTCCTCTGGTGAATCACCAGGCTGGAATTCTGACTGAAAAGTTTTCCACAATCAGGACATTCAAAGGGTTTCTCTCCTGTATGAATCCTCTGGTGTCTCACCAGGTTGGAATTCTGACTGAAACCTTTGCCACAATCAGGACATTCAAAGGGTTTTTCTCCTGTGTGACTCCTCTGGTGTATTGCCAGGTCAGAACAGTGACTGAAGCTTTTTCCACAATCTGGACACTCATACGGTTTATCTCCTGTGTGAGTCCTCTGGTGTTTCACCAGGTTGAAATTCAGACTGAAAGTTTTTCCACAATCATGACATTCAAAGGGTTTTTCTCCCGTGTGAGTTCTCTGGTGTTTCACCAGGTTGGAATTCTGACTGAAAGTTTTCCCACAATCAGGACATTCAAAGGGTTTCTCTCCTGTGTGTGTCCTCTGGTGTTTCACCAGGTCAGAACTGTAACTGAAACATTTACCACACTCTAGACACTCATATGGTTTTTCTCCTGTGTGAGTCCTCTGGTGTTTCATCAGATCAGAACGGTAACTGAAAGTTTTCCCACACTCTGGACATTCGTAGGGTTTTTCTCCTCTGTGAGTCCTCTGGTGTATAACTAGGTCGGAATTCAGACTGAAACTTTTTTCACAATCTGAACATTCATATGGTTTCTCTCTTGTGTGAATCCTCTGGTGTTTCACCAGGTTGGAATTCTTACTGAAACATTTCCCACAATCAAGACATTCATATGGTTTTTCTCCTGTGTGAGTCCTCTGGTGAATCACCAAATGGGAATTCTGACTGAAACATTTCCCACAATCAGGACATTCAAAAGGTTTCTCTCCTGTGTGAATCCTCTGGTGTATCACCAGGTTGGAATTCAAACTGAAACTTTTTCCACAATCAGGACATTCAAAGGGTTTCTCTCCCGTGTGAGTCCTCTGGTGTTTCAACAGGCTGGAATTCTGACTGAAACGTTTCCCACAATCAGCACATTCAAAAGGTTTCTCTCCTGTGTGAGTCCTCTGGTGTATCACCAGGTGGGAATTTGCAATGAATCCTTTCCCACAATCAGGACACACGTATGATTTCTTTCCTGTGTACGTCCTGTGGCGTATCATCAGGTGGGTATTTGGATCAAAACTTTTACTACAACCAGGGTATTCAAATGGTTTCTCTTCTGTGTGAATCCTCTGGTGTTTCATCATGCTATATTTCTGTCTGAAACGTTTCCCACAATCAGGACATTCAAAAGGTTTCTCTCCTGTGTGAGTCCTCTGGTGTATCACCAGGTGGGAATTTGCTGTAAAACATTTCCCACAATCAGGACACACATATGATTTCTTTCCTGTGTACGTCCTGTGGTATATCACCAGGTGGGAATTTGGATCAAAACTTTTACTACAACCAGGGTATTCAAATGGTTTCTCTTCTGTATGAGTCCTCTGGTGTTTCATCATGCTAGATTTCTGACTGAAACGTTTCCCACAATCAGGACATTCAAAGGGTTTCTCTCCAATGTGAGTCTTCTGGTGTATCACTAGGTGGGAATTTGTCATAAAACTTTTCTCACAAATAGGACAATCATAGAGTTTTTCCCTGATGTGAATCTTCTGATGTATCTCCAATTTGCCATTTTCGCTAAAGCATTTACCACATTCAGAGCACTTGTAGGGCATCTCTCCTGCGTCGGTCCTTCCATGATCCACAAGGGAGCTGTTCTGGCCAAATATTTTATCACATTCAGATAATTTATATGGTTGTTCTCCAGAGTGGATCGTGTTGTCTATAATCAGCTCTGATTTGCAATCTGTTCTTTTGCCATAATAAGCAGATCTGTGCACCTTTTTCAAGACTGATATTCTTGAAGAAGTCAAAAATATGCGTGATCCTTGTTGGATGGAGCTTTGATTCAAGCTATTGTTTTCTTCCTCACAGGGTAAAGCCTCCATTACTGTCTGCCCTATTTGGCTTCCCAATTGACCTTTTCCTCCCCACTGACTTCCAGATATTTCACTCTTTTTCTAAATGGAAAAATAATCTCCCTTGACTTTTCATGTAATACTTCCTTGTTTTCCTTGTACTCTATTTATTCCAGCTTGAAATCTCTCTTGATTTTCTCTCTTTTGTTGATCAACCTCTGGAGAAGAAGAATTGTATATTTTTCCAAAGGAAATGGAAAATATTTTGATTTCTGGATTGATTTGCTTTCCTTTTCAAAGTTGCTTGTTATTCTCAGTTTTCCAGAGTGCTCTTTTTCTGTAAGATTCAAATAAAAATGTAACATTAATTGTTTATAAAATGGTTGAAGAATATGTGAAAAAAATAAAAGTATGCATTACAAGTAAATAGCAAACATGCTACAATGGTAAAATAACCTCTTACATTAATTATGATAGATTTGACCTGTTAAAGATTACTGCAATCCAAGTTCAAATATCCATTCAATCATGAAATACACTTGTTGACTTGGATCAATCACAAATTCTTAGCAATGCAATTATTGGGTAGAATCTCTGTAATTAAGATGTTTTACCAAAGGTGCTTTTACTGTTGTATACTTTACCAAAACTTGTAACTGATACTCCATTTAAACAATAGACATCTGTAAGTTTATATGGCAAGGGGAAAAAACCAAGAATTAAATATAAATTATCGCAAGACGCTAAGGAAAGAGGAGGTCTGGGCTTACCAGATTTGCAATTGTATTTTGATACTTGTTGATTTGTCTGGCAAAAAGAGTGGGTGACTCTCCAAAATAAAAGGTTATTGAGCTACAGGGCCATGAATTAAGATTTGGATGGCATGGCTATTTATGGGTTGATAAGGTTAAAGCAAATTTTGATTTTAATAATCACTTTTTTAAACATGCAATCTTAAGAGTGTGCAATAAATATAAAATAAGGTTCTCTGCAAAGATGCCTTTTTGGGTATTTCCCCCGGGAAGCTTTTTTTAGAAAAGAAATAGTGGTGAGACCAGACTGGTACTTATGGTCAAATAATAGCTTTCAATTATGGTGACCCTATCCTCAAGTCTACAGAGAAGTTGGAATAGGAATGGTGTGTTTGCCATTGATTTACATATTTACAATTGAAAAAAAAAGTTTAAACTAGACAAAAAAACATATGGATTTGAATTTGCAAAAAATGAATTGGAAATCCTATTGTGTGGTAGTGATGAACATATTATTACTGAAATTTATAAATTGTTATTGAAATTGAACTTGGAGAATGAGTATGTAAAGCATTTAATGATTCAGTAGGAAAACAACTTTCGATATAATACTTGAATAATGGGAGAATATGTGGATGAAAGGTCCAAAATTCTCATTAAAATATAATTCAAAATAAAACTTTTATAAGCTGATGTACTGTTGGTATCTGATACCGAACAAATTGTCAAGAATCTATAAAGGCACCTCAAATAAATGTTGGAAATGTAAAGAAGGAACTTTTTATCGTAAAATTAATAACATGACTGGAATGTACTAACAGAAGGATACAAACTATTCAAAAGAAACAGACCTAACAAAAGAGAAAATAGAATTGCTAGAAGTCATATATGTTAGAGGTCATTATATCTCTACAAACCATGAACAAAACTAAGGGTGAAAGTCTCCTAGAATGCATATGAGTCAACATAAAAAGAAAAAAGAATAACATTGTGATATGTGTACTACAGGCCTCACAAGAGGCCTGAGAAGAAATAGATGAACTTTTTTCTAATCAATTAGGAAACACATCACAGTAGTAATGGGAGAACTACCCTGATATCAATTGGGAGAAAAACTCAGAACAAGTTGGGAAGAGACTGGACAGCCATTTGTCTGAAATGGTATGGACCAATGATGGCAAACCTATGGCACGAGTGCCGGAAGTGGCACGCAGAGACATCTCTCTGGGCATGCCAGCCGTTGTCCGTTGCTCTTCCGGGTTCCAGCTCGCACATGCGCGCCAGTCAGCTGGTCTTTGTGTGTGCGGGAGCACTGGAAACTGAAGAGCAGCTCCCTGTCGCGCATGCGTGTGCCGGGAAGCTGAGCTTCCAGTTTCCAGTGCGCACATGTCACCGGCCAGCTGGTCTTTGCACGTGCATGTGCGCCAGAAACCAGAAGACCAAGTGACCGGCATGCATGCGCACTCTGGAAACTGGAAGCTCAGTTGCACATACCAGGGAACTGCTCTTCCAGTTTCCGGCATTCCCTCCCATGCACACCAGGGAGCTGCTCTTCCGGCTTCTGGAGGTCCCCCAAATGCGTGCGTTCTCCCAAACGTGCACATTCCCCCAAACGCATGCGCTTTCATTTCGGCATTTGGTGCTGAAAAGGTTTGCATGCCAGCCAGCTGGTCTTTGCGTGTGTGGGAGCACTGGAAACAGAAAACCAGCTCCCTGGCGCGCATGCATGTGCCAGGAAGCTGAGCTTCCGGTTTCCGGTGCGCACATGTCGCTGGCCAGTTGGTCTTTGTGCGCGCATGTGCGCCAGAAACCAGAAGACCAAGTGACCAGCATGCATGCGCACTCTGAAAACTGGAAGCTCAGCTGCACGTACCAGGGAACTGCTCTTCCAGTTTCCGCCGTTCCCTCGCATGCACACCAGGGAGCTGCTCTTCCGGTTTTTGGCACTCCCCCAAACACGCACGCTCCCATTTCGGCACTTGGTGCTGAAAAGGTTTGCCAGCACTGGTATAGACTCTTCTGCTGGAGCAGGATTTGGACTAGATGACTCTAGTCTTCCAACTCTGTTATTCTATATTATGTTATATTTATGGTGGACAAAGCAAAGAAATATTGGAGTAGGATCCACATCTTAATATAGAAGATTCTTAAAGTGAGCATAAAGATAAAACTAAAGAGTTTTCTTTTAGGCTTAATGGATAAAGAACTTGAAAAACATTTGGAACTAATGGCACCAAGAATACTTTATGCACAAAAAATGGAAGGATACTTTGATTCCCACAATGGACAATTGGCTGCAAAAGTTGATTCTATGTGGAAACGGTTTTTGGATTTTGTCCTTGAGGTAGAAAAAAATGAAACTCTAAATTTTAGGATTTTTTGATTAGATACAGTAAGATTGTTGTTATAGAAATGGCTAGAATACATTATTATATAAAACTAAAAAGTTGAGGTTTTATATTAATACTTTATTCTACTGCACTAAAAGGAGTTAGAAGTCAATACTTTTTTCTTTTTCGTTTCCCCTTAATCGTACATTTTTCTCTCTTCCCCTTTTCCTCCCTTCTTTTACAATTATTTTCATTTTTCCTTATATTTCTCTTTTCATATGTTCTTCAAAGATATAAAGAGCAGACTATATTCAGTATTTAAATATAAGTGAAGCTTTTGATCTGCAAAGCAAAGTCTTATGATTCTGGCTGTTGGAAGTTTTGATGCAGATTGTGGGAAATACTTTCTGTTCTCTCCCCCCCCCCCTCACTTTCTCTTTCAGGCCTATTTGAAAGCACTGCCCTTCGTTCAGTGACTATTTTAGCTTTTTTTTTTTTTTTTTAAAGAAAAGCTCTATACTTAAAAGACTGAGTCCGGGTAATTCATATATAACTGCATAATTAACCTTCATAAACATGCAACTCACAGATCAGTAAATCAAATTTTTATTACAGTCCTAGACTAGTATTAGAAGGGTGGGATGTAAACAATTTTAAAAGCTAAAAATATAAAATACACAAAGTTAAAAACATTTTAAAAAGCAAATTCTTTTCTAAAAAAAGAAACTTATTAGAAAGGTAAAACATTAAATACAAACAAAACAAAAGTATATGGTTGGCTAAATCTATCATAATACAGAACGCTCTTAACTGACAAGTTAAAACTATTTTTTTAAAAAAAATAGGATTAACTTGAAGCTCATAAATACTTAAATTCTCCTGGTAAGGATAAATTTGTCAAAATGAAGATACTTGACCAGGTTATTGTATTTTTAAAAGTGTTTTAAAATCTGAAGCCATCCATTTTTGGTGGGTGGAGTCTAGGGCTCATATAGGGTATTAAGAAAGAGAAAGAGAGAGAGACAAGAAAGAAAGAGGAAAGAAGGGAGAGAAAGAGAGACAAGAAAGAGAGAGAAAGAAAGAAAGAGGAAGGAAGGAGAGAAAAAGAAAGGAAGGAAGGAAGGGAGAGAGAGACAAGAAAGAAAAAGAAAGAAAAAGAACAAAAGAAAAAGAAAAAGGGAGAGAGAGAGAGACAAGAAAGAAAAAGAGAGAAAGAAAGAGAAAGAAAAAGAAAGAGAAAGAGAGAAAGAAAGAGAAAGAGAAAGAGAGAAAGAAAGAGAAAGAAGAAAGAGGAAGGGAGAGAGACAAGAACGAAAGAAAGAAAGAAAGAAAGAGAAGAAAGAGGAAGGAAGGGGGAGAGAGAGAGAGAGAAAGAAGAGAAAGGAAGCACCACAAACCCTGGCATTAGACATGGCTTCAGAAGACGCTTTGAAACATCACAGCAATCTAGGCTGGAAGGGATCTCGGAGGTCATCTAGTCCAACCCCCTGCTGCAGCAGGAAACCTTATATCGTCTGGATTATTTGGGTGCCTCTAACAGAGAGGAAAATTGCCAAAAAGGAGAAGGAATTTACTAGGACAAGGCTGCCATGCAGAGGAAGGCAGAGATAGTCCTTGACTTATGACCACAATTGAGCCCAAACTTTTGGTTGCTAAGCAAGAGCGTTGTTAAGTAAGTTTCACCACATTTTACTCAATCCATGACCTCTCCTGGCTCTAACAGTCCTGTGCAAGCTAGGGAAGAAAATCTGAATGTTCTAATGTACAGAGGTTATAGTTAAATGTGTGGCAGAAAGTGGACTCTGGGTGTGTTTTTCCAAATGTAGTTAAGTGAGGTTGAATGTGTATAGTTTTAGAAGAGCTGTGTGTGTGTGTGTGTGTGTGTGTGTATACATACATACACATACAGTATATACAGTAGATAATGTATCTTTTTGTGTGCCTATACACACTATACTATGTAATATGTATGTACACATAGGATTAAATAGTATATTTTGGATGTTCAGTAATAGTAAATAAATAGACAGGGAAATTGTATCTTGTTGAGGCCTTTGAGGTGAGGAGAGGCCAGGCACCCTAACCCTAACCCTTGACATGAGTGAAGTCAAGTTGGCCATGCCCACCCAGCCACATGACCACCAAGCCATGCCTAGTCACATGATCACCAAGCCACACCCACCAAGCAAGCCACGCCCACAGAACAGGTAGTAAAAATTTTTGAAACCCACTGTCAGCTTTGGAAGCCGTATTAGCACCAGAAGCTTCCACGCTGCCAACTCCATGCGCCTGGGAAAGTAGGAGGGGGGATTTAGAAGAGTGAATATAGTTAGACATAATAGCATTCTTCCCTTCGGTCAAGGTCATGGTGTTTATGCATCCAGAGGAGGAGTGGTTGCAGGGATGGCTCAAGTTGGGACGGATGATGATTGGACCATGTGACAGACTGAAGGGGCTGGATTTGGGGTTTTGATTTCCTGAGGGAAAACCCGGAACCTTCGGATTTGGGTTTTCCCAGATCTGCCAGTATAACTACTCTAATAAAATGGAACTTTGAGAAATGCCTGCTTCGGTGTTTTTACTTGGAGTTGGGGACTTTCTGGAATGCTGACACTCACCACTGTCCAGGACATTTATTTATTTATTATTATTATTTATTAATGGAACTTGTATGCCGCCCTATCTCCAATGGACTCGGGGTGGCTCACAACAATTAAAACAAAACAAACACACCATTAAAACAAAAATCCAGGTTAAAATTAACAAAAATTCAATAAAAAACCCAGTTAAAATTCTATTAAAACCCCCATCAGTCCAGGGTGGCCAGGTGAAATAGCCATGTTTTCGGGCCATGGCAGAAAGAGCGAAGGTCGGGAGCCACCCGGAGCTCCAGAGGGAGTTGATTCCAAAGGGCAGGTGCGCCCACAGAGAAAGCCCTCTCCCTGGGGGTGGACAGCCAACACTGTCTGGCCGACGGCACCCTGAGTAGGCCCTCCCTGTGGAAACGCACCGGGCGATGGGAAGCTGTTGCTGGCTGCAGATGGTCTGCCAAATATCCCGGGCCTAAGCCATGTAGGGCTTTATAGGTAATCACCAGGAACTATCATTGCAACTGATAGTTGCAACTAAGATTGCAACTATCATAAATTTAAATCAGTTGTCAAGCATCTGAATGTAAGCCACGTAACTAGGGGGATGCTACAATGGTCAGAAGTGTGAAAAATGATCATAAGTCACTTTTTCCAGCGCTGTTTTAACTTTGAATGGTCACTAAATGAACTGTTGTAAATCGAGGACTACCTGTACTTACTAACAGAGAAATGAAAGGGCAACAAACACAATTGGGGGCTAGAGAATAAAACATATGAAGAACGGTTGCAGGAATTGAGCATGTCTAGTCTAGTGAAAAGAAGGATTAGGGGCGACATGATATCAGCATTCCAATATTTGAGGGGCTACCACAAAGAAGAGGGCTCAAATTATTTTTCAAAGCACCAGACCGGACAAGAAACAATGGATGGAAACTAATCAAGAAATCGAGAAATTTCCTGATTGTGAGAACAATTGGTTATCACCTTTAGAGCGCTCCATGGCTTAGGACCTGGTTATTTACGGGACTGCGTGCTACCACCAATAGCCTCCCACCGACCAGTACGCTTCCATAGAGAGGGGCTCCTCCAGGTGCCATCGGCCAAACAATGTCGACTGGCGGCCCCCAGGGGGAGAGCCTTCTCTGTGGGGGCACCGACGATCTGGAACGAGCTCCCCCCGGATACGGAGGATCTCGGATCTGCGTACCTTCCGTCGCGCGCTCAAGACTTTCTTGTTTCATCAGGCTGGCCTGTTCTAAGTCTTTCCCCTTTTTTAAATGGAAATTTTAAATTTGGTTTCAAAGTATTGGGGTTTAAAATTTGTTCAGCCAAATTATTTAATTCGTTTTATTCTATTTTAAATTTTGTATTTATATTGTTTTATTCTATGGCTGTTCACCGCCCTGAGTCCTTCGGGAGTAGGGCGGTATACAAATTCAATAAAACTAAAACTAAACTAAACTAATTGATCAGTGGGATGGCTTTCCTCCAGAAGTTGTAGGGTGCTCCATCACCGGAGGCTTTGAAGAAGAGACTGGGCAGCCATTTGTCTGAACTGGTATCAGGTCTCCTGTTCAAGCAGGGCATTGGATTAGATGACCTCAAAGGTACCTTCCAACTCTGTTATTCTGTGTCAATGGAGATTCTTAATCATCTAGGTCAGGGGTGGGCAAATGAAGTCCACAGGTTGTAAAAGAGCCACATTTGCCCACCCCTGATCTAGGTCATGGTTGTCTCAAAGGTGCTTTTTTTCCAAGAGGCAGCTGGACTTTCTGGTTTTTCTTTGAAGACGTTTAGCTTCCTGGATGACAAGTGAAACGTCTTCAAAGAAAAACCAGAAAGTCCAGTTGCTCCTTGAGAAAAAAGCACCTCTGGACCTATTATTCTATATTCTATTCTATACCCTAACTGCTCCTCTGATTCTATGCCATGGAGAAAACCTAACAGCCCTACTTGCTCCGAGCCTCTCCTCAAAACTCACCTGCCAGCTGCGGCTTCGATCCTGGGAAGAGCACAAAAGACATTCCGCACACACCACCTTCCTCCCCTGAGTGATCCAGTAGAGGAAGTTCCTCTGCGCTTCGCCTCTCCTCCCATCCTTTCTAGCAATACAGTACTCAATGGTTTTAACTCCTTTAAACTCAAACGCAGGTGGTGGTATTATACTGTTGGCTCTCTAGGTAAAGAAGTTGCCTATCTGACCGCCATCTCGTGACAGGAGGCGGAAAAACATGTTTGTCCTGTTTGCAAGATGTTTTCACTGATTACACGCTATCTAGTCGTTTTCCACTCCTAGCAATCGAACTTTGCAACTCTGCCAAGTGAAATGTGACACTACTTCTCCTGTGAATATTAGCTATGTGCTGATCCACAAAAGTTCATGAAGTTCTGGCAGAATTACAGAATAGAAGTTGGAGAAGGGTCCAACTCTCCAAGCAGGAGATCCTATACCAATCTAGGCAAATGGCTGTTGAATCTCCTCTCAAAAACCGCCACAGATAGAGCACTTCTGGAGGCAAGCCGTTCACTACGGTAATTGTTCTCATGGATAGGAACTTTGTCCTTGATTCTAGATTGAATCTCTTTCTGATAAGTCTCACCTGTTACTTCTTGTCCTGCTCTCAGGCACTTTGGATAATGGGACGACCCATTCAAATCTGTCCGCCCCTCCAATATTGAAAGACTGCTATCATGTCACCCCTAGCCCTACCCATCACATATTTTAGAATCTAATGCCTAGGTTTTTTGTGGCTTTTTTCTGCACTCTTTCTAGAGTCTCATCATCTTTTTTCTATCATGGTGACCAAAACTGGGTACAATATTCCAAGTGTAGCTTTACTAATACAGTATAATGCAGTACTGACACTTCATGTGATCTTGATACTTTTTTTTTTTTTTTAAATTTAATTTATATGCCGCCCTTCTCCGGAGACTCAGGGCGGCTTACAATGTGCTAAGCAATAGCCTTCATCCTTTTGTATATTTATACAAAGTCAGCTTATTGCCCCCACAACTGGGTCCTCAATTTACCTACCTTAGAAAGGATGGAAGGCTGAGTCAACCTTGAGCCTGGCGAGATTCGAACCTGCAGTAATTGCAGGCAGCTGGTCTTAATAACAGAGTGCTTTAAACCACTGTACTACCAAGGCTCACTGCACTACCAAGGCTCAAAAAAAAATGCAGTACTGATACTTCATGTGATCTTGATACTATCCTTCTGTTGATGCAGACAAGGACTGTATTGGTTTTTTCTGCCGCTGCAGCACACTGCTAGCTCATATTTGGGGTGATTGTTCACTGGAACTCCTAGATTCATCTCACAGTTACTGCTGTTGAGCCACGTACAACCTCTTCTATAGGTATGCATTGAGTTTTTCCTGCTTAAGTGTAAAAAACTATTTTTCTCACTGCTGAATTACATTGTGCTGGAAATTACATTGTGCTGTTCAAGTCTGTTAAGATCCTCCTGTTGTCTCCAAATTTGATAAGTTCCCTTCTATTCCTTCACCAAAATCATGTATGAAGTTGTTGAAGAGTACTGGGCCTAAGCCTTGGGGTGTCCCCACTGCATTCTTCCCTCCATGTAGATGCACCCCACCTTTTGTCACCTTCTGATAAGCAAAGTCAATGGGGAAGCCAGATTCACTTTACAAATGTGTTACTAAGTTAACAACTGCAGTGATTCATGTAACAATTGTGGTAAGAAACATAAAATGGGTAGGATTCAATAACTTTCTTTCTTAGCAAGAGTTTTCTCTTCCGTGTCTGTCACCTGCTGGGGAAGAAGAAGAGTTTTGTAGCTTTTCTGGAGGAACTGTAAGATTTTAGTTGCTGCCTTGGTTTACTTTCCATTTTAATGCTGCTTGTGATTCTCAGTCCTCCACAGTGTTCTCTTTGGCATTCTTTTGATTCACATAAAAGAGTTAGTTTAATTATGGTTTATAAAATGGCTGCTCAAATTTGCAAAAATGAGAAAAAAGCAAATATTACAATTAGAAAAACACACCAAAAGGTTAACTTAACCTCTTACATTAATTATCATTCATTTTCAACATACAGGTCTAGTGAGATCCAAGTTCAAATATTCATTCAATCATGAAATTTACTTGTTGATTTATGTCAATCCCAAATTCATACAAAGGATTAACATATATAGCGGGAAGTACTAGGGACAGATTATACATATACACATATATGTGGGTGCACTCACACTTTTTGATCTAATTTTGGAGAGACAGGGTGAGGCTTAATTGATAAAATGATCCTAAGAGTTTCAACAAGATTTAAAGGATCATTTTTGGCCATGGAAGTCCACCATTCCAAATAAGAAAAAAGCCAGAAATACCGTCCACAACCACACTGGTGACATCCCAATTCAGGCAATCCTCACTTACCAAAAGCCATTGGGACCAGCATATCCATTCCTAAATGGTGTGATCATTAAGTATGACATCACTTAACCATGTCAACTTACAATATCGTTCCTGGCTGCGGTCATTAAGCAAATCACCATGGTCTGCTCAGAGCAATGTAACATGACTGTGACTTGCAACTTCCTGTCAATTTCCAATTGATTTGGTTTCTTGGAAGCCAATTGTGAAGGTTCTAAATGGTGAGTCCATGATTCTGGGACACTGCAACTGTCATAAATGCAAGTCAGTGCCACCCCCAAATAACTGTGATGGTCACATCTTTGGGGAAAAGTTGTAAGTCTTCTTTTTCAGGGCCACTGTAACTCTGAAAGTTGAGTGGTCAAAGGTAAGCAAGGACTGTCTATAAATCTGAACATCCCAACTGGTGCTCAAGTAGCTACTTTAAAAGAAGTCCTGGGATAAGCACAGTTGTGCCTGGTTAGTACATGGATGGTGCACCACTAGGAAATCTGGTGTCTGTTTGCTAGATATGAAAGTAAAAACAAAGTCCCTGAAGACAGCACTGGCAGATCAGTTCCAAAATGTTGCCAAGAAAAGATCATGCCCATAAAATCACAAGGAGTCAACCCTAACAGGAAGGAGACTTTTTAACTCTCCCAAGAAGCAAAAACTTGCAGGCAGCAGCTTTAAAGCATGCACCACCAGTGGTATAAAATCCTGGGAAGAAACGAACATGTAACAGCTGACATGTTTCAGCCCCGTTGCTTCTCTGCTTTTACACCACGGAGGAAACCAAAAAGCCCTACTTGCTCCCGGCCTCTCCTCCACCTTCCTCAACTCACCTTTCAGCCGCTACTTCGACCCTGGGAAAACCAGGAGAGCCACCCTCCACGCCTCGATTTTCTCAACGGAGAGCCGGAAAAGGAAGTTCCTCTGCTCTTCTCCTCCAAGTCCTCTCTAGGAATCTAATATTCGAATGTTTCAACTCCTTTGGCCTGCAATACCGATGCTCTGTATTTGCAGTGACAGTCGTCTAGCGCGGGCGTTGCTTACCTATAGTGCGCCATCTAGCGATATAAAGCTGAAAACCAGGTTGTTCCGTCTGTACCTAAGGCGGTTGCAAGATTTTTTTTTTATTGATTATGTTAACAGAATAACAAAGTTGGAAGGGACCTTGGAGGTCTTCTATTCCAACCCCCTTTCCAGACAAATGGCTGTCTAAGGAAGTGCCATCAAGTAGCATAGCATAGCATAGCACAGAATAGCGGGACCTTGGAGGTCTTCTAGTCCAACCCCCTGCCTAGCCAGGAAACCAGTAGTTTTGGCACTGCAGCCCCAGGGATACTCCCAGTAGAAAGGCAAGCACTGCGGCCACCCTGTTGTGGATTTAATAAGACCAACACAACTTTTGGGTTAATCAGAGACAATTTGTATATTGCGCAATAGGTTCAAAGCTCTGTACATGAAGGTTGAACAAAGACAGAAATTAGGTACAATGGTTTTATACCCTTCTAGACAAAGGATTCTGTTAACTCAGCAGTTTATGTGATCATATACATTTGTCATTTTTAATTGACACTTCCTAATTACTGTTTCATTTTATTCTTTGCCAACAGTTATAATTCTTTTTGTAGATTACTGAAGCATAGACTCAAATCATCTTCTGATGATAGACAACTTTTAACTCATGTGGATCCCCTTGACCTAACCAACCTTTAAGCTGTATGTCATTAGAATGTTCCTTTCTTCTGACAACTTAGAGGCCTCCTAGAGTACCAAAAGGATTTTGTCTGAGTTTGTACTTTTTCCAACCGGATGCATTGCTTTTTAGAATAGAGTGAATAGAAAGTTATCCAGTGGTCATCTATCAGAGCCCGCTTCATTTACATTAACCTCAGGATGAGTGCTGCCACCCTGTGCCCCCCACCCTCACCCCTACACAAAATTAACTTAACTTCTGGGCTGTAAAAGCTCATAAAGCACTTATTTATGTGCAGAGTCCCTAAATGATGGCCAGCTTGCTCTTTGATGCTGTTAATAGAATAACAGAACCTGCAATATTAGTTCCCTGTCTGTATTGTTGGGGAGGCTGAATCTGGCTAGAGCAGTCTTTCCAATTTACTGAGTAAAAAATTCAGCTTAGCTGCACATGCAAAAACCTATGAAACGTTGCCATTCTCTTGGTTTGAAATGCATATTTTTTTTTCTAATTTGAAATTTTAAAGTAATAAAATATACAAAACAAAAATGATAGAAAATAAAGATATAGAACACAACATTGAAAATAAACCCTTGTACAGTTGTGCTTTCCAATTCAGCGTGCCTACGGTTCTAATGTTCCCTTTTATATCCATTTCATGTATTCAAATCATGTTTATACTTATATATGTTATCTAATACGTGCTTGACAAAATAAATAAGAATACATAAATAATTGTAATCATACATTCCTATTTGGAAATTATCTCTGCTCAATTGACCAGGATAAAAACTTTCTTGGAAACAGATGCTGGCTTCCAAATTTTTTCTCCATATCTTTTTCCATTAGGCCCAAAAGGAAAATTTGGAACTTTGTTATTATATATGTTGACAGCAGTAAGACTATTGTATGCACAAAAATAGGAAACTTCAGTTCCTACCATGAACGAATGGTCACAGAAGTTGATGGAGTTGGCTGAAATGGCAAAATTGACTAAATTTGATTAAAGAACATAAGTTCTTTTGTTTCCACATGGAGACCACTTCTGAGCTTTCTGTTGTGGAAAAGAATGAAACTTTGATTTTGGGTTTTATCGATTAGATTGATAGATCTTTATAGAAATGGCTTGTTCATATTATTATGAAAAAAAATGGCTTGTTCATATTATTATGAAAAAAATCACAAAGTTGTGATTTGATGTTAATGCCTTATTTTACTGCAACAGAGAGTTGGAAGTCAATACTTCTTTTTTTAACCTTTCTCACTTCTCTTCCTCCCCACCATTTTCCTATTTACTTTTGTATTTTGTATCTTATTTTATCTTATAATTCAATAAAAAGGTTAAACCAAAGAGATCCTGGCTTGACGTCCATTCCTCAGAGAAGCATGCCAATGGCTATCATATGATTACAGGACAATGTGATGGTTGTAAATTCAAGGATTGTTTGCAAAGCTGAATTTTTTTATGTCGAGGTGTAAATAAATCACTGTACCGTAAAACCTTTATTTCTATTAAGATCTACTTTAACAATGAGCCTCTGAAGCAGTTAACAATAAATGTTTTTATTTATATAAAAAACAATATCTATTCAAATATTAAATAGTATTTCATTACTTTGCTTAAATATCCTGTCAGCTATATATATATAGCTGACAGGATATTTGCTGCTACCGACGACCTCCCATCGACCCGTGCGCTCCCACAGAGAGGGCCTCCTCAGGGTGCCATCAGCCAAACAATGTAGGCTGGTGACCCCCAGGGGGAGGGCCTTCTCTGTGGGGGCACCTACCCTCTGGAATCAGTTGCCCCCAGAGATAAGGAGAATCCAAGACCTTAGTGCCTTCCGCCGTGCCCTTAAAACTCACTTTTTCCAGCAAGCCGGGCTGGCTTAAGAAGAAATTTTTAAATGTTTTAATTGGTTTGTGATTTTTAATTTTTGGGCCAAATTTATATATATTTTAACTGGTTTTTAATATTTGTATTTTATGTTCTTAATTCTGGCTGTACACCACCCTGAGTCCTCAGGGAGAAGGGCGGTATATAAATTGGAAATAAAATAAAAATAAAATAAATAAATAAATAAATATATATATGTATGTATATATATGTAGGTCTTTGGTTATTCGGGTTTTCTCCCGGGTAAAATTGGAGGTTTCTTGGCAACGTTTTGACGAAGTCTCATTCGTCATCTTCAGGCTGGTGACTTCGGCTTCGTGCTTCTAAGAGCAATGTGTGTGATCGCAGCTGTTTCTTTCTTTTAACTGCCAGTGGGGGTGTGAACTGATTGGGTGGGAGCTTGGTTGTGTTCTGATTGGGTGGAGGTGTGTTCTGATTGGTTGGGGGTTTGGCTGTGCTCTGATTGGATGGGGGGTTGGCTGTGCTCTGATTGGATGGGTGTGTGTTCTGTTTAGGTGGGGGCTTGGTTGTGCTCGGGTTAGTCTGAGTAGCAGGGGGATTTGAGCTGGTGAGCTGTGTTGCTGTTGTTTGGCTTCGTGTTCGTGGCCGTGCTACCTCTTCATGGTGGGTGTCAGTCTGCTTCATGTATGGATTGGGGGGGGTTTAAAGGGGCTAATGATGCAGCTGTGGTCTGGCTTCTGGTCTGCGGTCGTGCCTCATCCTCAGTGTGGGTTTGAGTTTGCTTTCTGCGTGGATGTGTGGTGGTTACATCCTGTGTGGCTCTCGTGAGTGTGGGTCTGGTGTCATTCTTTGTGTTAGGGACTCGTTTGTCAATAAGGGCGGGTTTCCAAATGGCTGGTAGGCGGGAGGTATCATCTCGTTTATTCATGCTGTGTGGACGTTTTTCTATCTCGATGGCTTCTCTGATTATTCTGTTGTTAAAGTGTTCGGTTTTGGCGATAGTTCTGGTCTTTTTAAAGTCAGTATCATGTCCTGTGGCTTTGAGGTGTTGGACCAGGGAAGAAGTTGGTTCCTCTTTTTTGACTGAGTTCTTGTGTT